AAAACCCCAAAACCCCAAAACCCCAAAACCCCAAAACCCCAAAACCCCTAGGAATTGATGCGAAAATTAATCGAGCGAGAAACTTATTATAAAAGAGATAATTTCAATATTAATTCATTCAATCATCATCACTTTGCAGCTACAATATGATAGTTCTCTTATTAACTTTGCTGGTTTTGACTACCTCCGCTCATATAAGCAGAGATTGGCATACCATTCGGTACTCCGTTTTGTTACATTTAAGGGCCTCCATTGTTGTAATCTTAATTTTGATTAGCTGAAGGGGCAACCCCAGATCCCATATATCTTTAGGATGGTGGACCATTGATCAAGGAAGCTGCTCCGTATGGCATTTGATTAGGCATATTTACATTACCATTGGTTGAGCTCATGTTCATGCTTACTGACCCACTACTTGGCAAATGCTGCATGCCAATTCTTCCTGATTATTAAGTTGGTAAATGTTAGAGCTATGGCTATGCATAAGGATTTTGGTTCATTTGACTCATTGATGCAGACATTCCGCCGCCCATTGAAGCAGGGTTTCCTATCTATTAAGCAAGATTAGTACTGCTTGGATAGTGGTGACCTCCTCCAATCATTGGCATGCGTTGTTGCTTGAACCCTCTAAAGGCGGTTTCAAGTTTCTTTTGCATATCATCAAGCTGATTTGGACTATCTTTGTGTGCCTCATACTCTCCAAATTCACCCACGCCCTCTGCTAATTCTAAGAGCTCTTGTAAATTAGTCCTGAGTATGTGACTCACAACATATTCTGAAGTATTATCATATTGTTGCTGATCTCTGATTGCTGATGCTTGCAAGTCGTAGTTTATAGAGTTATTATTGGTCATAATTGGCTCAACATTAGGCACAGAATTCTAGATTTGAGATTAATTTACGAAGTTGCTGATTATTTAATTAGTCCTTCCAGCAAGTAAAGTGTCACTTGACAATGATGGATCTTACATTATACTATTTACACTTTGAAGAGGTTAAGCTTTTGATTCTTCGAGTAAACTTTTTCTTTATACTATCTCTTTTTTAACTAAACTCTTAATGTTTTCTCTCATAAGCAGACTCTATGTTTTCTTAAATCTCTTCTCAAGGAATTTTTTATCTCTGAGCAAGTAGTAGTTTTAATTTGTTTAGCTGACACCTGGGACTCCTCGATTGATGAAATCTAAGACTGATCCATATGCTTTCCTTCTTTTACCAAGAGATAATTTACTCATGTCTGCATTTTCCTCAGCTTATTTATCTTCAAAGACATCAATATCTATCATTTTCAACAATAGTCTATTGTTTCTACCTCTTCTAACTATCATCTTTCTGTTAAGCAGTTCCTCAAGTTCATTTTCAAGTTCAAGCTAAGTTGCATTCTTTTTAGGTATTTGTTATTATATATTAAGTGGCTTTTTACCAAGGTTGAGTGACTATTGTTATTGCAAATATTGGCTGGAGTTTAAAGATATCTATGGTTGTTGATTGATCATGTTAATTGGCTCAATTACTCTGTCAGTGTCCATTGTATCATCCATATCTTCATCAATAGATTTGAGAGGGGGCTTTAAAAAGCTATTGTCAATCTTGTCCTTGATATCTTTTGGAGTGTTTTACTCTAGTTTCAGATATTTATCACCATAGGTAACACCGAATCTTTGACTGCAATGAATAATCTTTGTTATGACAGTCACCATATCAAGATTGCAGAGTGTATCCTCCTTCACAGGAATCTCTTATCTGCCTGGATATGGAACATTTTAATTAGCGTAGACGTTGGGCTACTCTGCTATACCTCTTTATTAACCAAGAGTGGAGAGATTTTTCTTATCCCTTACTTTTTTAGTTGGCATTCTATCTTGGGGATTAATCATGTTATCTTAAAAGTTGTTTCCAATTATGATTTATCCACCTTGGTCGGCATTCATGCTTTGATTAAGGTTTGCATTAGCACCAGCTTTGTCATAGTTCTGAGGAGGCTTTATAGTAATTGCCCCTGTTCTGGTTTTACTGGATTACTTATCAGCTGTTGCATTCACCATTTGTTAATCTTGGCTTTCAAACTATTGCTGTTGCTGTTACTAGGTCTTTTGATGACTTTGATTTTGCTTCGAAGGTGTTTAGTTGTAATAACCTGCACTTTCCTTTTAGCTTCTCTTAGTCTATTCTTCAAGCATGAGCTTTTCTGCCATTTACTCGGGGAAATATTTCTGGAACATTGGATGGCAATCCTTACGTTCACTAATTTGAAATGTCATAACTTTTTCTACCTATGAACCTTCTAACTTTTTGATGTCAACTTTCTGGTTTCTGGGCTGGAAGTTTATGCCCTTCTCTTTCAAGGACTACTCTAATTGGAGTTCATAGACATTCAGCTCTACTAAATTTTGAGATTTTTTGATCTCCTCTCTTCTATAGACATCCTTTAATATGTGAAGAACTTTAACGAAATCCTCTCTAAGTTCAAACATCTTTTTATAGGATTCAATCTCATATTTTGCCTTCTTTCTGAGTTTCATCTTTTCCTTGACTCTTTTACGGAAGGCAGCATTGGTGTCCTAATCATCGTAGTCAGCTTTCTCCCAGAATATTCTCAAGAATGATCGCTTTCTTTTTTCTCTCTCACTTTTCCAGTACTATTAATATAAATTTAATTTGAAATCAATAATAATTATGGAAAAAAAGATTTGGAAAGGAACTTGGTTCCATTCAAATATGAAGATATACTGTACCTTTTGGTAAATGAGCTCCAGGGTTTGCTTTTAGATCCTTTGACAGTATTATTTGGGAGCTTTTTCATAGAATCTCTGTTGCAAGTGAGCCAATGACTAGTTTTGATCGACTACTACAATTTTCTCAAAGACATCAATTACTCGCTCGAAGTCCTGGACACTGATATCAACGACTCCGCTTTCGAGGAACTTGAGGTCCTTCTCAGTAACTTCATAGTTCAGCTCATCAAATGAAAAGTTTTCGTAGCCCTCGTAAACAGGCTCCTTGTATTTTATGTAGTGGGCTGGCTATTTAAATAGGGGTTTATATTTGAGATAGCCTTCAAGTTGACTATCTCTCATGGTTTAAGCAGTTGGCTTAGCCTATGGCTTGGCTATAGCTAGGACTCCATTGGCAGAAGGTTAAGCAAGCTAATTAGGTGAGGTTTTGGCAGTTGCATCTCCATTTATTGAATGTGATGTTGATGCAGATTCCTCATTACTTCCTTTTTTGGCATCAATGTTGCCTGATATAATATTAGAATCTGCCGCAGGTTGCATTACTTGATTCTGAGGTACAAGAATCTCAAATTTCTTCTTAGTTATCAGGCTAGTGAGTGCTAGGATCTCATCCTCCTTTGACTCATCATGGTAGGTGCTCCTATAGTTGAATATAAGAAGATAAATATTTTTATGTACTCGTATTTTTTTAGTTCTTCTCTAGTTTTGACGATTGTAAGCGGTTTTGAGTAATCAAGGTTCCTTTTTCTTACATCGACTCTAGGGTTTTTCAAGTGTGTGTTTATATTAGTGCTCATTTTTCCTAAAAAAAGTTGATAAGTATTATGAATAATAAGATGACTAATGAATCCCCCGCAATAAACTCTCCCGGAATATTTAATATTGGATAATTTTGCAAAAATATGATTTCAGGTTAGCTAATTAGAGTTGACAATTCTAGATTAAAAATGGAATCTATTAATCGATAAATTTAAAAAGCACTGAAAACTAGCAAAACAAGCATTTATTTTCAAATTTCTAAGTGAATTTCTAGTTTTTTAATAACGATCGATTAGCAATGAATTTATCATTATAGCCTGAAGTTTTCATAGCATTTCGCTTAGCGAGAGTTGAGATAAAAATAGATGTATTTTACCGCCTAAGGATCAAAGGTGTTTAGTAATCCATACAAAATGCCTCATGTAGGGTTTAATTTCGTTAGGGACTCGAAGTTGAAAGGTTTTAGGTGAGAAAGGATAAATTGGGAGAGTTGGGGTGATGCATTAGGAGTAGCTTTTTTACTTACCTATTGTTTAGCTTAGAATGTTTAGAATTTATAGTAAACTTTTAAATGAGGGTAAGTTTGTGATTAATCAAGATACTATACCTATTAGGCTTTATTGTTAAATAAATTCAAACTCTAACCTCAATCACTGTCTACATTATTTTGATATTTGAATTGCCTTAAATCAATAAAATCTCATATTTTGATTTCATGGGGTTTTGGGGTTTTGGGGTTTTGGGGTTTTGGGG